TCACTCCCAGCCAATCTTACTATTTTGCACTGTTACTATGTTGCAATGCCCTGTAGTGTGACCTTCACCCCACCTAGTTATTATATATCATATTTGTATCACTTATGTTACTTGTATATTATTTGCCAATCAAGAAACTCATTTCCCAATTACGCAACTGTATATTTCCAGCCTTCAGACGGCCATGCTCTTTCAATAAACCGTTAATTATTATTATTATTTTTGTTACACACACACACACACACACTACTACTACTACTACTTTGTTGTCACTCGGAATCAAATATGACAATCATCCAGCTATTATACAATGATATGAGTTATTAAGGATGTCACCTTCGCTGGTGAGTTCTGAGGTGACTAAACAGGCCGATACGGGACCTGCAGAGTCGATCACAGTTGTTGCACGTGTGAAGAGCTACATCTAGTGCGGGAGGAGCGGCGGCAGTCTTTCCGGCGTTGGCGCTCGTCTGCCTCGGTTTGCAGTCGAGCTAACTCGAAATTATTGACACCTCGATGGTGTGCTCCTCCAAGAATTACAATGTGGTGTAATTGTCTCCCAGGTGAGGGGGTCGATTTGCCACTTTATTAGGTTTTTCTTATGACTATCCTTATACCTTTTCAGTTGACCGCCGGCGTTACGTTTACTATTCGTTAGGTGACTGTAAAGTAGCTGCTTTGGCAGTCTACTGTCGTCCATGCGGGTAACATGGCCAGTCCAACGTAGTTGTTCAAGGATAATGGTAGCCTCGATGCTCCTACAGTTGGTGTCAGCAAGAATACTGGCATTTGTTCTCTTGTCTTCCCAGCGAACTCGGAGGATGGAACGTTGTAAAGGCCTGGCCTGTAGGATATAAATCCCTTCCCAGCCTTATCAGGATCTCATCAAAGGAAAGTCAAGAATCATGGGTTTCCAAGGGGTAATAAACAACCGTTAGAGAGGACATCGCTATACTAAGGAAATAATAAAAATAAATTAACTCTGACACCACTCACACAAATATTAAGTCAACAGCACTAGAGTCAAACAATCACTAAAACAAAAGAACCAATAAAACAAAGAACAGGTATTTCCTACGGCTGCAGACGAATCTTTTTCTAACCAGTACTGTAGAATGTTCTGGTAACGCCGTGATCCGCTCTCAGGGGGAACGTCCAGGGCTGCTTCCTCACTTGGCGTTGGTGGGCGATGTCTTGCCACCCAAGGAGACGCCAAGGCACGGGCGGTGGATAGAGCGTGGTGATCACGTGGCAATTGCTGGAGTAAGTGAAGGACTGGAGAATCAGCCCACGAGCCCCAGGAACCTTCGAGGAGTACACAACCAGAGTTGGAATCGAAGAGCGAGGTAAAGCAACAGCTGTGGTGAAGGCTGGATCATGTCTGGCCGGCGACGAGGCAGCAGCGACCTTCTCACCACCGTCTCCCACCCCCCCCCCCACCCCCAATGGGGTCGCGAACAAGCAACGGACAACCTACCCACTCGTTACAGCCCTTACAAATGCAGACTACTTTGGCGAAAGTTTTCAAGTGCCTTGAGGTGCCTTCTGTATATGACCCATGTCTCTCTGCCATATAGCAGGGTGGGGAGGACCACTGCTTGATATACGTGTAACTTTGTAGATAATTTCAGCTACCTACAGCTGAAGACACGGGTACAAAGTTTGCCTAAGACTTGAGATGCACATCTGATCCACTGTTCAATCTCTTCAGTGATGTCTGCAGTGATGGGCAAGTGGGAGCCGAGTTACCAAAAGTGGGTAACATTAAAGAGGGTAGTACCGTTAAGCTGGATGGATGGTGGAGGTGTGGCTGAACCAGGGCAGGCTGAAGGAGAATCTGAGTCTTACATACATTCACCTCAAGGCCGAAGTGTGCATACGCATCTGCGTAGGTTTTCAGGATCTCCTGCAGGTCGAACTCAGTGTGAGCGACAAGGGTGAGGTCGTCTGCATACTGAAGTTCAGTAATGGAAGCTGCCGACACCTTTGATCCTGCCTGGAGTCGTTGTATGTTGAAAAGATCGTTCATCCGGTACTTAATGTCCACCCCGCTGGCTAAATTGGCACGAGTAAAGAAGGCAGCCAAGAAAATGGAAAAGAGAGTTGGTACCAGAGGTGCCACATGATGGTCTAAAGCCACATTGAGATTCTGGGCGGAAGTCTTCCGTCTCAGGAAGAAGTCTTTTTTGGAGGACTCGGGCGATAATCTTGCCAGCTACGGAGAGCATCGAGATCCCGCGGTAGTTGCCACAGTCTGACCGGTCTCCCTTGTTCTTATAAATATGACGATAGAGGCGTCTTTAAAAGCTGGGGGATTTCCTCCTTTTCCCATTATATTCTCCAGAAGAGAGTGGAGGCGGCTGGTAAGCAGAGGTCCTCCTGCTTTATACACCTCGGCTGGGATTCCATCAGGCCCTGAGGCTTTGTAATTTTTCATCTGTTTGATGGCAGTAGCTACCTCATACAGGGATGGAGGATAGCTGAGATGAGTCAGCTCTGGATCCTGAGGGATCTGTTGAGTAGTCAGGACATCCACATTGGTGTTTCTGTTGAGCAACGAATGGTAGTGCTCTTTCCAGCATTGAAGGAGGCCTCTTCGTCTTTAATTAAGGAGTTACTGTCGAATGGACGCATGAGGGCTTCTTGTGTTGATATACAAGTTTTTGTGTTTCACGTGCTTTATTTTTAAACCAGTCGTTTTTAGATTGCGAAGTTCCCGTTGGGCAGCCACTTACTTCTTGCGGAAGGTATCAGCTTTGATTCGAGATTTAAGGTTGTTCTGCTAGTCAGTTAAGGCAGCACGCTATCATCAACGAGTACATTGATTTCCGGGTCATTTTCATCAAACCAGTCCTGGATTATTCCTTCGATCTGGCCGAGTGTCTCTGCAGGTTTTTGTTATGACAGTGTCGAAAGTACCTCATTAGGCACTGGGTTTGGGTTGTATTATGTCGGGTTGCTTATCAGCACCCTTTCGAACTGCTCTCTGAAAGCATGTGCTACCGCTGGATCCTCCAGACGCTTCGTGTTAAAACCTCTTTTGAAGGCTTGTTACCTTCACCGTTTGGGGGCAACGTTGTAGTGTCTGTTACTACTACTACTACTACTACTACTACTTTTATTTATTTTTTTTAACGTGGCCTCCAGCCTCCCCCAATAGCCACACCTTCGCCACCATTTAATTACCTTAATATTTAATACCCTAATACATAAGTAGCTATCCTACTACTACTACTACTACTACTACTACTACTAATAATAATAATAATAATAATAATAATAATAATAATAATAATAATAATAATAATAATAATAATAATAATAATAATAATAATAATAATAATAATAATAATAATAATAATAATAATAATAATAATAATAGTAATAATAATTTATCTATTCCCTTGTTCAGACACAGCTCCTCGCCATACCATCACACCCACGAGCGTTATGTGAGTCAACAAAACTGTTTAAAAACTCGTAAAACCTTCCCACTTGGTTTGACTGTGATTCAAGTACCGCGAGTGATGCTTCTTGTTTACACGGATGAAAAGACTCATATACAAATGTAATATTTACCCATGTATAATTAAACACACAAGAAAGACTGCCAACTTTAAAACATGATATTTATGGCTCCATCATCGCCTTTATATCACCACCTGGGAGTTACTTCACCTACGAGTTACGCCTTATTCATCATCACGCGAACATTATCTTGGATCTACAGTATAATGGTAAAGATTTTTCTTGGTGAACTTTCTAAGATGCCCGCCTCCTCTTCTTCCAGTTTGCTCGTCACTGCATCATGGACGACACTGGTCAAACAACTTTCGACCTGATGCAGTGTTCGTTTGAGTAAGGAAGATGATATGATGATTCATCATTCTACTGTATCTGTTTTTAGGGGAAACACAATTACATTTCCTTCAGACGCTGCAAGTGCTCCTCTCTCCCCCACTTAGCGACGGCTGGCCACATGGATAAACAAGTGGTTAAGATATCTCACTCAATGGGTTGATCATAGTAATCAAGGGGTTGTTATCGTGTATATATATATATGTGTGTGTGTGTGTGTGTGTGTGTGTGTGTGTGTGTGTGTGTGATGAGAGAGCGGAGGGGTGATCAGAAATGCTCTTGATTCTTAATTTCACTCATAAAAATATTAAATACTGTTTTGATAAAATCAATTTATTCTCTCGACATTATTTGTTTTTCTTAACCTGAAGTAATAAATGCTCAGAGGTGACGGAGAGCATCAGTAAACTATCAATACTTTCTTTTTACATAAACCTCGACAAATATTAATAACCAATTCTTCATCTCTTATATATCATCACCGCCATATCCATATATTTATTCTTAAGAAGATTCTTTAACATCGGATATTCTTTTTTGAGATGAATTGACTCGCAGATGACGGGGTCGGCTAATACTAAACAATGATGGAGAGACAATATCACTTCACTCACACAAAGGCAACATCCACCAGAGTTACAGAAGACAAGAGAGGGAGAGTAACAACACACACGTGAAAAATAAACACATTTACTTTTTCATGAATACACGTAAATAGGTTAGAGGTATGTTAAGACAACTGTACAGGCGAGGGGGAGGTAAACATCCTCTTCTTTACCATAATGAGGGTGAGGATATCTGCCTTCTTCATAGTCTGCTACCGACCGTACATGCTGGCTCCACCACCACCACCACCACCGCCACCAATTAATGGGGCAGAGTAGCTTGTGCTGACTGGAGCTGAGTAGCCCTGGGAAATTGACCCAATGAAGCTTCCCCCTGAGGAAATGCCACCACCGCCTCCAAAGCCACCTCCACCTCCAAATCCACCACCCCCTCCACCTACGCCTGGAGCAGAATAGCCTCCTCCAATGGATCCACCGCCTCCAAATCCACCTCCACCTCCACCTCCAAATCCACCACCACCTCCACCTACGCCTGGAGCAGAGTAGCCTCCTCCAATGGATCCACCGCCTCCAAATCCACCTCCACCTCCACCTCCAAATCCACCACCCCTCCACCTACAGCTGGAGCAGAATAGCCTCCTCCAATGGATCCACCGCCTCCAAAGCCACCTCCACCTACGCCTGGAGCAGAGTAGCCTCCTCCAATGGATCCACCACCTCCAAATCCACCTCCACCTCCACCTCCAAATCCACCACCCCTCCACCTACAGCTGGAGCAGAATAGCCTCCTCCAACGGATCCACCACCTCCAAATCCACCTCCACCTCCACCACCGCCTCCAAATCCACCACCCCTCCACCTACAGCTGGAGCAGAGTAGCCTCCTCCAATGGATCCACCACCTCCAAATCCACCCCACCTCCACCACCGCCTCCAAATCCACCCACCCCTCCACCTACAGCTGGAGCAGAATAGCCTCCTCCAATGGATCCACCACCTCCAAATCCACCTCCACCTCCACCTCCAAATCCACCACCACCTCCACCTATGCCTGGAGCAGAATAGCCTCCTCCAATGGATCCACCACCTCCAAATCCACCTCCACCACCTCCTCCAATTACAGCTGGAGCAGAGTAGCCCCCACTAATGGATCCACCACCTCCAAAGCCACCTCCACCACCGCCTCCAAATCCGCCACCACCTCCTCCTCCACCGCCACTACTGCCATAGGTAGCGCAGGTGGAGCCGACCAGCAGGGCGAGGTGGAGTCTCAGGAGCGTCCGTCTCTGTTGAGAAGAATTAATACAATTTAATCTATATTCTTTAATAACACCTGAAGCTGAACATATGAGCCGTCCACTACGTAAAGGTCCATTGAAGAGACAGCAGATAGTACCCGACTGTCCCCTATACCACCCACACCTCCCTGCCAGCTTTTTATCTTCAGGACTATGGCAATGAATAAGGAACACACACACACACACACACACACACACACACACACACACACACACACACACACACACACACACACACTGTAATATACAATTATATTTTTTACTTTTACGTGGATTACCCCAGGCACAGTTCACTTGCCCACATCAGGGCCTAGGGGGCAAAAATATAATAATAATAATAATAATGATAATAATAATAATAATAATAATAATAATAATAATAATAATAATAATAATAATAATAATAGTAATAAATAAATAAATACAAAAATGAAAAATAAATCAATAATGAAAAAAGATATACAGTATGTATGTTGTGTTGTCAATAGTAAGAGAAACAATTGAGACCCTGCAATTGTGTGTAAATGAGGAAGAAAGTCAGATCAGCAACCTGGGACTTGGTCACAATTTTTGTGATGCCATATAGCAGTAGGGTCTACCATTAGACAATACAATATACTTCCAATATCTTCCCAGGCGGTAGTACCTCCCTGTTTGATAGCTGCCTACTACCTACTGAACCCATTCTTTTATCTTAGCCTACAGTACAGAACTTACCACTAACCCTTACCTAAAAGTAATCCTAAGCAATAGGTAACTCTAAGTCACACTGAGCTCCTTTCCTTACCATGCTGTCTGGTGGGCAGGTGGACCTGTTCTTGCCCTGGCTTGTGTTAACTTTCCTTTTATACCCGAGACGGAACTTCTGACCCGCGTGACTCTCACTTCTCACACCAGACAACTTTGTTTTCCCTTCGTGATTTTTGTCACTGAGATGGTACTGCCCGTGTGTGTGTACCCCCCCCCTCCTTCGGATCCTTCTACAGGGCTGGTGGACATGAAGAGAGAGTTATCCATTATAATATTTGGGTTGTGAAAGGAGCAAGACACCTGCTGATGGTGAGCGCCCACTTCATCATCTTGTGGGTATTGCTGTTTGGTTTTGTGATGTATCGTGCGTCGTGAATCAGAAAGTTAAAAGGCGTCTCATATTGTTCTTTTATTCTATTGTGTATTAGACGTTTCTTTTTGTCTTGAGAAAAGTAAAAAAAAAATCCTTTAATGTTCCCTTCTCCACATTTTCTTCATAAACTAAACTAAACTAAATTAAACTTAACTCAACCCAACCCAACCCAACCCAACCCAACTGAAAACTGAAAACTTAAGTAAACCAAACTGTGGTCATTCATCCTTGGTAATTGTGTGTTTAGGTCAAGTTATTCAAGGCTCAAAATGTTTTTCCTCGCTATACAAAGATCTGTTAAAGATAGTAGTTAAACATAGAAGTCTAGAGCTGCCTGGAATAGCAACCGTGACGTTATGTTAAAAGAAGGCACTAGATGTACACTCCTCAGAACCGGTACTGTTACTGCCGTCTCTTATTCCACTTATCTTCTTCAATTATCAAAACTATTAATCTAAGGATGTAAATTGTCAGTGATGATATGTCTTTAAGTCAAGTAACAACTGTCTCCCATGTTACAACTGCCTTATTTAATGACGTCATGATATTCTAACCTTTCCCCGGTAGTTACAAAAACAAATAAAGTACACTTGAAATTGACTGAAAGTTTCAAGTGAAGTCAAGACCCCTCGAGAATTGAAAGTCATGGAGGTCAGGATCGTCTCAGGTGGGTATAAAAGGGAAGGTAACTGACTGCCTTGGCAAGAACGGGTTCAAGCAGCCAACAGGAAACATGGTAAGAAGGGAGGCATGAGCATACAGCCAGCCAGCCACCTGCTTGTATCCCGAGCTTAGTTTTAAAGATAACTGTTTTATATCATTCATGAAACACTGAAAATTGGGTTAGATTACAGTAGCACGTGTGTAGATTACAGTTTTAGGCACATGTGTAGTATCAGTCTTATTTTTTTTTACTGTTTGGTAAGGAAGTGAGTTTTGTAGTGAGTCAATATGTTCGTTATAAAAACTTTCCTTCTGGGGACCTTAAGCTGCAGGCTCGTACACTACTGGGCAGTGTCTAAAGTTGATTTACTTTTGAAAATATTATTATTATTATTTTTTTTTTTTTTCAGAGACGAACTTTCCTGGGGCTTCACCTCGCCCTCTTGGTGACCTCCTGCTTCGCCTCCTACGGTAGTGGAGGAGGTGGTGGAGGTGGAGGAGGTGGAGGAGGTGGTGGTGGCGGATTTGGAGGTGGTGGTGGCGGATTTGGAGGCGGAGGTGGAGATAGCCATGAAATTGGAGGAGGTTATTCTGGACCTATCATCAGTGGAGGCGGTGGCAGCGGAATTGGAGGTGGTAGCGGATTTGGAGGCGGAGGTGCTGGCGGACTTGGAGGCGGAGGTGCTGGCGGATTTGGAGGCGGAGGATCCATAGGAACAGTTATTCTGCTCCCCGGTATTGGAGGAGGCGGTGGCGGTGGATTTGGAGGAGGAGGTGGTGGTGGAGGTGGAGGAGGAGGTGGTGGCGGATTTGGAGGCGGAGGTGGTGGCGGATCTGGAGGGGCAACTATTTCAAAAGCCTACGCTGTTCCTGTCACCACCACCTACAACGCTCCGTCAATTGGCGGTGGAGGCGGCGGCTTTGGCGGAGGCGGAAGCTTCGGCGGCGGCGGCGGCGGCGGCGGCGGCTTCGGTGGGGGTGGCGACGGTGGATCTATAGGAACAAGTTATTCTGCTCAGAGCATTGGTGGAGGAGGTGGTGGTGGCGGATTTGGAGGTGGTGGTGGCGGATTTGGAGGCGGAGGTGGATTTGGAGGTGGAGATAGCCATGAAATTGGAGGAGGTTACTCTGGACCTATCATCAGTGGAGGCGGCGGTGGCGGATTTGGAGGCGGAAGTGGTGGCGGATTTGGAGGCGGAAGTGGTGGTGGATTTGGAGGCGGAAGTGGTAGTGGATTTGGAGGCGGAAGTGGTGGCTACACACCTCCTATAACCACCAGCTACTCTGCTTCGTCAATAGGCGGTGGAGGCGGCGGCTTTGGCGGAGGCAGCAGCTTCGGCGGTGGCGGCGGCGGCGGCGGCGGAGGAAGCGGCGGCGGCGGCTTCGGTGGGGGTGGCGGCGGTGGATCTATAAGAACAAGTTATTCTGCTCAGAGCATTGGTGGAGGAGGTGGTGGTGGCGGATTTGGAGGTGGTGGCGGCGGATTTGGAGGCGGAGGTGGATTTGGAGGTGGAGATAGCCATGAAATTGGAGGAGGTTACTCTGGACCTATCATCAGTGGAGGCGGCGGTGGCGGATTTGGAGGCGGAAGTGGTGGTGGATTTGGAGGCGGAAGTGGTGGTGGATTTGGAGGCGGAAGTGGTGGTGGATTTGGAGGCGGAAGTGGTGGTGGATTTGGAGGCGGAAGTGGTAGTGGATTTGGAGGCGGAAGTGGTGGCTACACACCTCCTATACCCACCAGCTACTCTGCTTCGTCAATAGGCGGTGGTGGTGGCGGCGGCTTTGGCGGAGGCGGCAGTTTCGGCGGAAGTGGAGGAGGCGGCTTCAGTGGAGGTGGCGGCGGTGGATCAAGCATGTACGGACGATAAGCTGCCCACGACCAGAAGAAACCAACACGTGAACGATGAGAGATGAGTGTGTGTAGGCCTGAAGTCTCTCTCCAACCTTCTCCACTATAACACGAATCTAAATACAAAATAAAAATATTGTTACTGCTCTGTTTTGATATTTATATATATAAATACATATTTTTTTTCATAGTATTTTTTCCACTATAGTTATGTTACTTTTACCAACCCTTAGACATTTTCCTAGTCACCTCTGTTAGAAAACTGTGTGTCGAGGGGTCGGACTGTCTCTTAAACTCTCATGAATAAAAGATTATATTCTTTATATCATGTGTTATTTTATACCACCTATAATCAGCAGAGAGGACATTTGCATCACCTTTTATGAATATGAGATTAAGTTACTTCTCTCTCTCATTGTAATGTTCACATGACGAAGCGTATCGCATATTACGTTCCTCGAAAGGGTAATTTTGGGTACAATTACATTTTTGTGGATTTACTAATGAAAATATGATCTGAATAAAATTATTGGTGTTAGTCAAATAAAATATATATACACCAAGTACAGGAATACTTAAAATAAATAAATATGATGAGTGAATATTTGCATAATGTCAGGTTCTAAACTTAAATTCACAGTTTAGCAAAATTTATTCTCTATCATCGGGTTCGTTTTAGAAATGTCCTGTGAAAGTGCCATGTTTATATTATCATGAAAGTTTATTCACCTTTCACTCTGGCTGGCCAGGGACGACACCTTTTAAGAATCGTGTTAACCCCTTCACTGCGGGGTCGCCACTTTTCATATTTTCACAAACGCCGATAATTTTATTCAGCTCAGAGGTGAACCTGTGCACAAGGAGGTAGTAAACTATCGCCACTAGGAAGGTTAGTATATTCTTTTCCATCAGTTATAAAACCTGTTTGGTGTGGTGACCAATACTAAGGTACATTTATCATTGAATTAACAAACAAAATAAAGAATTCTGGAAGTCACCAAACTTAGACATTACCCTAAACATCTGAGAGCCGACAGTGTAGTACTCCTCTACAGTACTGTAGGAGTTTATAATACGTCTTTAGTTAAATATGTTTTATTCAGCATACAGACTGTACTCGAGTTTTATTAAGATTACCCTGACGACTGCATTTTTTAACTGCCTCTTTAACAATCTCTATTAGAACCTTAGTTTAAAATGGTTTTCAGTTTTGAATTTTTACTTTCCCTGTACTTGACACTGTAGTCATCTTAACACTAACTAAATCTATGCCAGGTATAGCACTTGTCCCACTTACCTCTCCTAGCACTGGATGTGAAATGTGTACATCTTCATACTGGCAGAGATTTTTATGGACTTTTCTCATTTCAGTATTTATCTCTTTAAGCTGAGCCAGCGTCCTACACAACTGGCGATCCGCGTCCCACCTAAATGTTCGAACTTGTTTTGTTTACTAGAGAAAAGATGAAAAACAAATATAAAAAAGAGTGAAAAGAGAGGAGTCTGGAAACACTGGAGTGCTATAAGTTGTGGCAAGAGAGGGTAGTACAGTTTGGTGCACACTGTGTTAGAAGTTGATCTAGACTTGGAGTGAAAGAGAAGCCGAACCATCGTAAGGAACCCAAACGTCGACATTCTTTTGATCAGGTTGACTCATCGGGTTCATAGACTTAAAGAGCCTCCAGGGTGAACTTCTGTGACTTCTTCTCTTTCAACTGTGTCTGCCCTCGTTTGGGTACTGGAACATTATAATATCTTCAGCCTACAGAAGTCTTACAGAAGTTAGCTCTTTCATCTAATTAACATAAACAAAACTACATTACAGTTTCTATTCTAAAGGAAATTATATAAATTCGTAATATTTTGATTTGCTGTTTTGAATTATTGTTTTCCGTCAATTGGTTCACGAGATCTGCCGTGTGATTTTTCAAGATGGGCCATGATGGTACCCGACCGACGTTTGTTGTTACTACGTCATCGTAGTGTAGTCAGGTGTACCAACTGGCTGAAGACTTGGGGGTTGGTATGCTTGTCAGTGGCACGAAATGTTTACTCTTGCTACACGATTTACCAGCATGAAAAACTTGAATCCCAAGCTAACGTGCACCTCATTTTCCTATTTTCTTGGATTATAACCCAATTCTGGGAATGAAATACAGCAAAAGTGCAGGGAACAGCGTAGTGATCTGTACTGTACATGGCCTTCATTGACCAAACCAAAGCCTTCGACTAGGTCAACAGGGAAGCCTTTTGGCGGACTCGCAGTCATTTTGGCTGCCCACCAAAATGCATCGCCACTGTGAGGCAACTCCACGATGTTATGAATGGCAGTGTCTTACACAATGGTACCCAGTCTGTGTTCATCCCCATCCAAATGGGGGCAAAACAGGGATGTGTAATGACACCAACTCTCTTTTCCATTTTCTTGGCTTCCTTCCTTACTCTTGCCAGTCCCAATTTAGCCGGCGGGGTGGACATCGAGTACCGGATGAAGGATCTTGTCAACATGAGGCGTCTCCAGACAGGAACAAAGGTGTCGGTAGCTTCCATCATAAGACTTCAGTATGCAGACGACCTCACCCTTATCGCTCACACTGAACGCGACCTACAGGAGATCCTGAACACTTACACAGATGCGTATGCACACTTCGGCCTTGAGGTGAATGTACGTAAGACTCAGATTCTGTTTCAACCTGCCCAAGTTTCAGCCACACCTCCACCATTCATCCAGCTTAACGGTACTACTCTCTCTAATGTTACCCACTTTCGGTGTCTCGGCTCCCACCTGTCCACCAACGTGGACATCGATGAAGAGATTGAACATCGGATCAGATGTGCATCTCAAGCCTTTGGCACACTCTGTACCCGTGTCTTCAGCTGTAGGGAGCCGAAACTATCTACAGTAGTTGCACGTATATCAATCAATGGTCTTCTCCACCCTGCTATATGGCAGCAAGACATGGGTGACATACAGGAGGCACCTCAAGGCATTTGAAAACTTTCACCAACGTAGTCTACGTTCTATCCTCCGAGTTCGCTGGAAAGACAAGAGAACAATGCCAGCATTCCCGCTGACGCCAACTGTAGGAGCATCGAGGCTATCATTATCCTTGAACAACTACGTTGGACTGGCCATGTTAGCCGCATGGACGACAGTGATGTCTTACGTTTCTCCAGGTTTTTGTGCAGAAAATCCAGGAAACTAACTAAGCAGTGTGATGTAGAGGAGGTCCTCATATTGCCAAATTGCTGTGGATCAATTGACTGATATGGGGATATGGGTGACATATGCAGTTTTCCATTCTTTAGACTTACAATTTTTGTCATTTTCGGCCAAAAAATGGATTTTGTTCAAAATTTCAGTATAGGTACTCCTGAATGTGCTGCTTAAGGATCTGTTAACCAAAATTTGATATCTTGATTATAACTTGTTCAAATGGCTTTTAGAAAATGTTCAAATGATTTTTAGAATATTTTAATTACTTCTGCAATGCTAATTACTCGCCACTTATGGGTTTTCGAGGTCATTTCTTGGTGCTTGTGTATTATTCTGGATGTACTTAAGTAGTTAGGCACATTAAATTTTAGTTCAAAGAGAAAAAGTATTTTTGGCCAAAAATCCTTTAAGGCATTAGGTCATTTGCTTTGTCTGAGGGATGCATAAATAATGGAACCCAGGGGGGTGGCAAGTTCGACTGCAAACTCCTTGTAAATTTTGATTCGGAGGGCAATTGGGGTTGTGGAGTGTATGGATTTAAATTTCAGGAGTTTGTTGGCAATTTCAAATGGTTGAACACTGGGAGGGGGGGAGGGGGAGGGTAAGTAGGCCGGGAGGAGAGTGAGGTTAAGACTGGGTAGCGTATGACATATGGTAGCAAAGTGGTTATTAATTATCTCAGCTGCCTCCTCACTAGGTAAATGTGAGATAAAAGGATGTGTGGGAGACTGACAGTTAAGACCACAGAGATCTTTTACCTTAGAGTACCACTGACCATTGCCGACCTCCTTGAGGCCGTGCACTTTCCTGGGATAATAAGACTTCTTGGCTGACTTGATTTCCCTGATGACTTGGTTACATAGACTGAATTTTTCCTGAATTAAACTGTAATCAATTTAATTCCTGACAATGTTGTTTACATTGTCCTGGGGTGAGACCCATGTATAGAGATGCCTAGGGTGTTGTTTAAACCATGTATTTGCAATTATCATCTTGTTTTCCTTACAAAACTCAATCCATATTTCTCGTCTTTCGTTTCTATTACTCAACTCATGTGATCTTATTTCTGATTCTACTTCCCTTTTCCCAACTTATACGTTAAAATTAATCAGACATTCATTAAACGTTATGGTGTCTTTAATTTCGTTAAATCTTCATAAGATTTTTCTAAGACTTCTTCCTCATTATCATTTATTGGTGCATAAACCTGTATTATTACCAAGTTCATGGGATTAGCATTAAATATAACTAATAAAATTCTATCTGACACTGCCCAATATCCCTTTACACTACTGCTCAACTTCTGGTTTTCACGAATACCAACACCTCTCTCGTGTTGTTCACCACCTGAATATATGAAGGAAGAATCTTCACACCTATTACTATTTGAACCTGTCCATCTTACTTCACTTATTCACAGAATGTCCCACAGTAATCTTTATCAACATAAGATAGCCAAATTATACCAAAAGTAGGTTAGGTTAGATCAAGTTGTTATGCGATACCAAAGAAAACACCAAATCAAAGAGACCTTATCTAAATGAATCTTACTCGTTAGGTTAGGTCAGTCACAGGGGAAAATAGAGAACGTTATATTTTTTTTTCTAGTTTAACAAATTTATTCGCAAAGCTTGGAGTACAAATTGTCTATTCTGAATAGTTCAGTCAGGTTTTGACACTGAGGTGCTCTCACTGTTCACTGCCACACAGGACAGAGGTTCATACAAAAAGGATATCATAGGATAGGTCATACTCATGAGGGTGTAATCGCTGTTCACTGCCATACAGGACAGTGGTTCATATATAATATAGGCCCTATTCATTAGTGTTATATTCCCTTTAAGGACTAATTAGTGTGGGCTAGCAAATTTAGGATTGACTTCAAGAATGTCCTCAAGCACCCCTGATTCAATGTAGTAATTACATAGTTCATGATACAATAAGCCAGGTGGCCTAAAGTTTTTGACAGTGTCACATTCAAAAATACTATTATAATATTTAAGTGTATGCTTTAAATTTTTATCACGAAGCTTACGAGCTAAGTGTTCTAATATGGGTACAGCGTCACTAACTTGCCAGATGTGCCTGTATCCTCGCCTAATTCTGGACAGGAGTACTGTATATCACATTGTCTGGTTCTGTCCCTGCGCTTGCCATATCGGTACCTCTTGTCACATTTTTTTTTCATTTACTAATACTACAACTGTCAGGTCTCTGTCAATTTCTCGGTTCTTGCGGATCAGAGTTCATGATTTTGACTTTTATGTTTTTAAGTACAGCGTTGGACAGGCCAAGGTCCCGGCTTACATTTTCTTTTTTACATGCCTCATTGGCCAGTCTGTGGTGGTGTTGAACTGTATGGCGCTCTAATTACTAAATAAGAGAGACCAAGAGCGTGGGAGGTGAAGATGGAACTCTCTTATACACTGTTTGCCAGAGACCTTAAGATGGGGAGATTCTGGGTAGTTCGTGGTGTTGTGAGGGACAAGTGAACCAACACCATCTCGCTTGACTTCTTGAGCGGCTGTACAGTTGAAAAATGTGAATATATATTAATGACAGCTACAGTATATCTCTTTTGTTAAGTTTATGGACGTTGGCATGATTATCTAAAGGTCATCTGTGGTTTTGATAAGAGCACGATAGCCATAAAATCACAGGGCAACGTTGTAGATATTATGTATTTATATTTCCTTTACTTTGTCAACGAGTGTGATTTCTTTATTTACCCAGAGAAATATTTATATTCTCTTGTATTCGTCATACAGATCATTGATTGGTGGACTAGTGTACTACTAACCATGCTACGGGCTTAAAGGAATTCGTCTTTGAAATGCAGTAATAACGTTATACCAATAACTCTCTGGTCATCGTGTCGAGCAGATGTGTCTTGTTTGGTCTGATTTATTAAATTCATGTATGTGATAAATAGAAATAGGTATGTGGTGTGATGGTTATTGGTATGGATGGTAGGCATGGTATGGTATGTATGTGAAAGAGAAAAAATACCATAAATTAGCTACATTGTAAGGTCACATTATACTGTTAGTTCATATGTTTTCGAGCTCGTGTGTCTAAGTTTGTTTTGTCAGTTTCATTGTATTAAATATAACTTTTGTTTATGTTTTGGGTATTATTGATGTTTGATATTTCTGTCTTATTTAGTGAAATGAATAATAACTGACGAAATCATTTAACTTTCAACAGATGGTAGGCTCAGTTGTCTACACGACTTATTTTATGCTAGATTGCTTTTCAGTGATTGCGTCATAAGGTGAGCAATATATTAGGTTTAGTATGCTGGTGTGAGTAAATTGGAAGATATCTTAACTACTGTATACTCTTTCCACACTAACCTGGCTCGTAGGCCCCGCCCCTCTTCTATACTAATAGCTGATTGATTCATAGAAAATTCAAACTAAATGTGTTCACAACAGGTAAGCAGACCTGTTATTATCTAAAATAATGTTAAATATATGTATTATCAAATTTAAAATCATTTCAAGGCATTAGCACTTCAGAGAGGATGTTATTTTTTTTAAATATTTAATATAAAAGGTCAATATAAATACGCGTTTATATACTCGTAGTCCTGAGGGGAGGTAACACGCTCAGGGGAACCAATCAGCTATTTGTAGCTGTAGACGAGGGGCGTGGCTTACTGGCCATCTTAGCATGGAAATACTTTAGTACAATGTATTTCACGAAGCCTTGCACTTTGTTTATGGTGTACTAGAAAGTGGGTCCCTTAGGTCCGATAGTTCTACAGAATACTATAGTGCTGACTGTTTTGGGTAAATGAACACAATGTGGCCGGGTCTGTGAACGACCACCAGCAATTGCCCATCGAGAGTTGGATGACATAGGGGTGTTCTGAGCATGAATCAGAGACCTTAAAGACAAGAGGCATGCACTTTATCCACTTGGCTGCTGTACGCAAGTGGATACATCACTCACTTCTGCCATAATGATCGCTGGTTCGATAGGCGTGAACCTTAAAATCATCCACATATAAAAATGGTTACTATAACTTTACATTTCAGGAAGTGAAGACCTCTCTGTGCACTGAAACCTTCGTGTACAGTGCTGTGTATCAAACTAAGTTAATGACATTCTTACCTGCATAATATTGAAATAATGCTTGTGTTTATTTGTTTACATTGAGTACAGTCCATCTGTAGATATTTGTTTACTTTTTTACTTGAGAAAGATGCACAAAGGTTATGTATCCTGTAACACCTCTTTAGGATATTAATTCACCTGGATTATAATCATCTTCATGTACGGTGTGTGTACGTTACAACTCATACATGACTGTTTTTCTTGTACAAGCATATGTGCAAAACACGTCAGGCAGTATGGAAACAATATTAACGTAAATAAATCTATTGTTTAAATAACAACTATTACATAAACAATTCAACTAAAAACATTTAGAAAACAAGTATTTTAACTAATAACCAACACGATAACCATTCAGTGATGACTGTACAGGAGAAAGGTGCTGGAAATTCAATATCTTTGGGAGACCAATATTTGAGACTGACAGGCCTGAAGTGGCTGGGTGCTGAGGAGTAGTCGCTAGAAGGTCACCACAAGTAGCCAACAGTTGAGGGATGACGCTGTTGTAGGACACTTCAGGAACAGCCAAAGAGAAGTGAAGAAATTAAGCTTATTGACGCTCGAGCCAGAAATGGTAACAAGAGGTCGGCGTCTTGTACAACTCGTTTATTTTCCGTACATACTTGCTGTTCCTCTGCCGCCGCCAGGGAGGATAGGTACCCATCTGCCGCTGCCTCCACTAGATGATCCACCTCCGTATCCACCTCCTCCTCCTCCTCCTCCTCCTCCACTAGATGATCCACCTCCGTATCCACCTCCTCCTCCTCCTCCTCCTCCTCCCTCCTGATCCACCTCCTCCTCCTCCTCCATGATCCTCCGATCCACCTCCACCTCCTCCTCCACCAGATGGCAGAATATCCAGTGCCCACAGATGGTGCTGAGCCTCAGAGAAGTCCACCTCCTCCACCTCCAGATGGTGGTAAATATCCAGATGCTTACAGATGGTGCTGAGTAGCCTCCACCAGAAGATCCACCGCCTCCACTAGATGATCCACCTCCCGTATCCACCTCCTCCTCCTCCTCCACTAGAATCCACTCCTCTACCACCACTAGATGATCCACTCCATATCCACCTCCTCCACCTCCACCTCCACCTCCAGATGGTGCAGAATATCCGGTGCTTACAGATGGTGCTGAGTAGCCCTCACTAGAAGATCCACCGCCTCCACTAGATGATCCACCTCGTATCCACCTCCTCCTCCTCCTCCTCCACTAGAAGATCCACCTCCTCTACCACCACTAGATGATCCCCTCCACCACCTCCTCCACCTCCACCTCTCCACCTCCAGAGGTTGCAGAATATCCGGTGTACAGATGGTGCTGAGTAACTGAAGATCCACCGCCTCCACTAGATGATCCACCTCCTAGATCCACCTCCTCTCACCTCCTCCATAGATCCACCTCCTCCCACCACTAGATGATCCACCTCCATATCCACCTCCTCCTCCACCTCCACCAGATGGTGCCAGAATATCGGTGCTTACAGATGGTGCTGAGTAGCCTCCACTAGATGATCCACCTCCACTAGATGAACCACCTCCGTATCCACCTCCTCCTCCTCCACCTCCCACCTCCTCCACCTCCAGATGGTGCAGAATATCCGGTGCTTACAGATGGTGCTGAGTAGCCTCCACTAGAAGATCCACCTCCTCCTCCTCCTCCGCCAGAAGATCCACCTCCTCACTAGATGATCCACCTCCATCCACCTCCCCCCACCTCCACCTCCCTCCACCTCCAGATGGTGCAGAATATCCAGTGCTTACAGATGGTGCTGAGTAGCTCCGCCAGAAGATCCACCTCCTCCACTAGATGATCCACCTCCGTATCCACCTCCTCCTCCTCCCCCACTAGATGATCCACCTCCTCCTCCTCCCTCCAGATGGTGCAGAATATCCAGTGCTTACAGATGGTGCTGAGTAGCCTCCGCCAGAAGATCCACCCCTCCACTAGATGAACCACCTCCATCCTCCCTCCTCCACCTCCTCCACCTCCAGATGGTGCAGAATATCCAGTGCTTACTGATGGTGCTGAGTAGCCTGCCACCAGAAGATCCACCTCCTCCACTAGATGATCCACCTCCATATCCACCTCCCCACCTCCACCTCCTCCACCTCCAGATGGTGCAGAATATCCGGTGCTTACAGATGGTGCTGAGTAGCCTCCACTAGAAGATCCACCTCCTCCACTAGATGATCCACCTCCGTATCCACCTCCTCCTCCTCCTCCACCAGATGATCCACCTCCTCCTCCTCCTCCAGATGGTGCAGAATATCCAGTGCTTACAGATGGTGCTGAGTAGCCTCCACTAGAAGATCCACCTCCTCCACTAGATGAACCACCTCCCATCCCTCCTCCTCCTCCACCTCCTCCCCCTCCTCCTCCACCAGATGGTGCAGAATATCCAGTGCTTACAGATGGTGCTGGAGAAGATCTCCTCCGCTAGAAGATCCACCTCCTCCCTCCAAGATGTCCACCTCCACCATCCACCTCCCCCACCTCCACCTCCCCCCTCCTCCAGATGGTGCAGAATATCCAGTACAGATGGTGCTGAGTAGCCTCCACTAGAAGATCCACCTCCACTAGATAGACCCACCTATACCTCCACCCACCTCCACCTCCTCCACCTCCAGATGGTGCAGAATATCCAGTGCTTACAGATGGTGCTGAGTAGCCTCCACTAGAATCCACCTCCCTCCACTAGATGATCCACCTCCGTATCCACCTCCTCCCACCTCCACCTCCCACCTCCTCCACCTCCAGATGGTGCAGAATATCCAGTGCTTACAGATGGTGCTGAGTAGCCTCCGCCAGAAGATCCACCTCCTCCACTAGAAGATCCACACTCCTCCACTAGATGATCCACCTCCATATCCACCTCCCCACCTCCACCTCCACCTCCAGATGGTGCAGAATATCCAGTGCTTACAGATGGTGCTGAGAGCACCCACCAGAAGATCCACCTCCTCCACTAGGATCCACCTCCTCCTCTAGATGATCCACCTCCGTATCCACCTCCTCCTCACCTCCACCTCCAGATGGCAGAATATCCAGTGCTTACAGATGGTGCTGAGTAGCCTCCACCAGAAGATCCACCTCCTCCACTAGATGATCCACCTCCTCCTCCACTAGATGATCCACCTCCGTATCCACCTCCTCCTCCCCCACCTCCAGATGGTGCAGAATATCCGGTGCTTACAGATGGTGCTGAGTAGCCTCCACCAGAAGATCCACCTCCTCCACTAGATGATCCACCTCCTCCTCCACTAGATGATCCACCTCCGTATCCACCTCCTCCTCCACCTCCACCTCCAGATGGTGCAGAATATCCGGTGCTTACAGATGGTGCTGAGTAGCCTCCACTAGATGATCCACCTCCTCCACTAGATGATCCACCTCTCCACCACTAGAAAATCCACCTCCTCCACTAGATGATCCACCTCCGTATCCACCTCCTCCTCCACCTCCACCTCCAGATGGTGCAGAATATCCGGTGCTTGGCTGGTGCTGACCCTCCACTAGAGATGATCCACCTGTATCCACCTCCTCCTCCTCCACCTGAAGATCCACCTCCTCCACTAGAAGATCCACCCCGTATCCACCTCCTCCACCTCCACCTCCAGATGGTGCAGAATATCCAGTGCTTACAGATGGTGCTGAGTAGCCTCCACTAGAAGATCCCACTAGAAGATCCACCTCCTCCACTAGAAGATCCACCTCCGTATCCACCTCCACCTCCACCTCCAGATGGTGCAGAATATCCAGTGCTTACAGATGGTGCTGAGTAGCCGCCACCAGAAGATCCACCTCCTCCTCCTCCTCCTCCACTAGATGATCCACCTCCGTATCCACCACCACCACCTCCACCTCCACCTCCTCCACCTCCAGATGGTGGTAAATATCCAGTGCTTACAGATGGTGCTGAGTAGCCTCCACCAGAAGATCCACTTCCACCTCCTCCACTAGATGATCCACCTCCATATCCACCTCCTCCACCTCCTCCACCTCCAGATGGTGCAGAATATCCAGTGCTTACAGATGGTGTTGAGTAAGCTCCACCTCCACCGCCTCCACCGCTACTGCCACTGGGGCCGTAACTGCCGTAACCCGCTGTGACCATCAGGCCCAGCTGAACCCATAGTAATGTTTTTCTCTGTAAGGAACAAGTGAGAAGTGAGCAGCAGCAGGAAGGGTGTGGCCTCTGTAGTATTAAATAACCTTACTGCATTATTTCATACATATTGTACTGTACGTCCAAGAAAACTATGGAAGTGAAAGTCAATACTAAAAATGTATTTGTGTGTGTACTGTATAAGTTTGAATGTGTGTGTGTATGTATGTATGTGTGTGTATGTGTGTGTAAGTGTGTGTTTGTGTGCGTATGAGTATATGTGTGTATATGTGTGTGTGTGTTTGTGTGTATGTGTACATATATATGTGTGTATATGTGTATATGTGTTCGTGTGTATGTGTGTATGTGTGTGTATGTGTGTGTTTGTGTGTGTATGAGTATATGCGTGTATATATGTGTGTGTATTATACGCTAGTCACTGTCACTGTATTTCATTCACTATTTTTTCAGTCACTAATATCTGAATCAATAATTTGTAAACCTGTAAACTACGTATATTGATCATGATAATTAAGCATTTCTAGTTATGTTTGTAAACACATTTCATATATGACGTTACACCCGTGGGCCAGAACGGTGCTCTCCTCACCATGTTTGCCGCTGGACGGCTGAATCCACTCTTGCTGGGAATGACAACGCTCTTCCCTTATATACTGGAGCCGCCGCTGCCTCGACCATGGACCAACTGAAGAGTCGCGTGCCATGACTTGCATTCTAAACACTCTTTTTAGCATGAAGATCGCACGGCACTTGTTACGCAGCAAGGACTGTCATTGGGGTTGCCTACTTTTAATGAGGTCATCACTACTCTTACACACACACACACACACACACACACACACACACACACACACACAAACAAACACACACACACACACACACACACACAAAGCACACACACACACACACACACACACACACACACACACACACACACACACATACACACACACACACACACACACACACACACACACACACACACACACACACACACACACACACACACCTCTGTTCCTCGGCTATGTTTACTCCTCATTGGTCGTAGTATCTAGTTCGGGAGTTAAATAAGGATACAATTTACGTCACTGTTAGGTAATAATATAGAGATTATAGAAGTAACACTTATAATGAATACGACTAGAAATGCAAAAGTGTTAGGCATCGTGGGGATTACTAGTCAGACCTTCAGCAATAAAGTACTGATCAACTCTCTGTCACATTACAATTGATTGCCCTCCCCTCTTTATATGGAAACACTTATTCTTGGTTTTCTTGCATTTCTTAATATTAATTTCCCTTATCAGTTGTAGTATAGATCTATTACACTATTGATATTATTCTTTGTATATTTCAATTTCCCGATTCATTCTTTGTATATTTCAACTTCCCGATTCATTCTTTGTATATTTTAACTTCCCGATTCATTCTTTGTATATTTCAACTTCCCGATTTTTTCTTTGTATATTTCAACTTCCCGATTCATTCTTTGTATATTTCAACTTCCCGATTCATTCTTTGTATATTTCAACTTCCCGATTCATTCTTTGTATATTTCAACTTCCCGATTCATTCTTTGTATATTTCAACTTCCCGATTCATTCTTTGATTCATTCTTTGTATATTTCAACTTCCCGATTCATTCTTTGTATATTTCAACTTCCCGATTCATTCTTTGTATATTTCAACTTCCCGATTCATTCTTTGTATATTTCAACTTCCCGATTCATTCTTTGTATATTTCAACTTCCCGATTCATTCTTTGTATATTTTAACTTCCCGATTCATTCTTTGTATATTTCAACTTCCCGATTCATTCTTACTCACGTTTTACAACACTTTGTTCATGGCTGTTTTCCTTTCTATTTAGAGCAATAAAGATACATCACCACCAACTGTATCATCGTCTCCTTCTTCACATATCATCCTTGTTCCCGCAACACCGCACATCCATCATCACTATTTTCCTTGTCATTTACAGTTATAAAAAACGAATTACCCTCAAGAATGTGCTGATACCTCATCTTCCAATAGCTTTGCCAACTCTCTCTTGCTCTCCGACCTTCTGTGTGTTTCATAATTATTCTTTTAATTTAATTTAAAGGATAATTATCAGCTTCACCTTCCCTTCCGTTCCCCACTCCTCCCCTCCCTCTCCCCACCTCCTCTCCCCACTTCCTCCCTACCCCACTCTTCCGCCCTTCTTCCCTCCGCCTCCCCACCTCCCTCCCCACCTCCCTCCCCCCTCTTCCCTCCCCCTTTCCCCTTCCCTTCCCTTCCTTGTTCACCTCCTTTCCTCCGCCCTCCGTTTTGGGATGTTTCTATTATTCTAGGTTCATAGTTTATTTAGTAATATTCTACAAAAATCTGAGCAATCGGTTGTTCAGTCTTATTCTTATCTTTAATTTTTTTTTATTCATTTGGGTCGAGAAAAAAGTTAAAACAAGGAGCAGATTCTCTATACATTTGGGGAAAGTTGTTGGTTATATATAAATACCGATAAATAGTGTTTCCATTTTGCAATTATTCATTTGTTCCAACATAGCGTGTAAAAGAATCCCTCTGTCACAACTACATATCACACTACACAATTCAGGACTTATAACTAAACACTACCTAGGACACAATGGTGAAACCTTTACAATGTTTACAATTATACATTTTACTTTATAAAGAACTTTCTAATGTTTACCTCCTCTCAAGCACGGCGGATGTGAAGAAAAAAAATCACTCTTGCCTGCAGCTCCCTAATGATCTTGATGATGTTACAGTCAATGGAAATAGGTTGTAAAACTTATTGTCTGTTATAATTTCCACGTAATTTGGACCTCAAACATTTACTTCGATAAACCAGATTAGGGACGCATGCAGGCACAAAAAAACCCAATTAGTCACATTATTATAAACACACCTACTAACCTATTAATGATTACCAATTACAATTTTATTTCAACTGTGATGGACACTTTGGCGTAACATTATGCCAGGCGCACTATGGATTATAATACTAATCTATAGAAATGACTTTACTAATCATTATACTTTATTAATTACTGTAGTTCTTGTACAGGTTAGGGAATAGAGTTTATTGGAGAGTAGCTGTTCTTACGTTTGTGTTACGTTGTCAGTCATAACGAGAGACTAATTTCAAGAGGGTAGAAGGGAAGACTATTTCACGTTCCCTCATAGCTAGGTGTGTTGATGTATATATGGTGTTTATTCTAATGCGTGAAGGACAAGTTATAGTGACTCGACGCTGGATTATGTGAACAAATGTATTACTAATTTTGACAAGAAGATAAGTAATGATCCTGAGTTACCTATCCTAGGAACGAACATTATTAAGTTGGGGTCGAATATGAAGAGAGCGTGCGTGTATGTGTTAATCTTGTAGGAAAAAAGATATTCAAAATATTGTATCTACATATTTAATAAGTGTAACAATATTCGATACAATTTTTCAAGCGTAAGTAAAACAACCTCTCCACCTACACCTCCCAATCCTACCCTCACCCCCTACCCTCCTCCTATCCCCCACTCCCTACCCTCACCCCCCACCCTCACCCCTACCCTCACCCTCTCTCACCCCTACCTCACCCCTACCCTCACCCCCACCCTCACCCCCTCCTCCTATCCCCCTCCCTACCCTCACCCCTACCCTCACCCCCTACCCTCCCCCTACCCCCTCCCTATCCCCTCCCTACACCTCACCCCCACCTCACCCCTACTCTCACCCCCTACCCTCACCCCTACCCTCACCCCCTACCCCACCCCTACCCCTCCCTCCTATCCCCTCCCCACCCTCCCACCCCCACCCTCACCCCTACTCTCACCCCTACCCTCCCCTACCCTCACCCCCCACCCTCCTCCACCCACCCTACCCCCCTCCCCCACTCCCCTACCCCACCCCACCCACCCCACCCCCCACCCCTACTCTCACCCCCCCTCACCCCCCCCTCACCCCCACCCCCCACCCCCCACCCCCTCCCCACCCCACCCTACCCCACCCCCTACCCTCACCCCCTACCCTCACCCTATCCCCTCCCCCTCCCTCACCCCCCACCCTACCCCACTCTCACCCCTACCCACCTCCTACCCCACCCCCACCTCCTCCCTCCACCCCTACCCTCACTCCTATCCCCTCCCTACCCTCACCCCCACCCTCACCCCTACCCTCCTCCTACCCCTCCCTCCCTCCCCCTCCCCACTCACCCCCCACCCCTCACCCCCTCCCTACCCCTCACCCCCTACCCTCCCTCCTATCCCCCTCCCTACCCTCCCCCCACCCTCACCCCCACCCTCACCCCCACCCTCCCACCCTATCCTCACCTCCCCTATCCCCACCCCTACCCTCACCCCACCCTCCTCCTATCCCCACCCCCCCTCCCTCCTATCCCCCTCTCCCCACACTCCCCACCCCCCACCTCACCCCCACCCTCACCTCATCCTCACCCCCCACCCTCACCCCCACCCCTCACTCCTATCCTCACCCCCTACCCTCACTCCCTATCCCCTCCCCTACCCTCACCCCCACCCTCACCACCACCCCTCACTCCTATCCCCTCCCCTACCTCACCCCCCACCCCTCCCTACTCTCACCCCCTACCCTCCTCCTATCCTCCCCTACCCTCACCCCCCACCCCTCACCCCCTACCCTCACTCCTATCCCCACTCCCCTACCCTCACCCCCAACCCTCACCCCCACCCTCACCCCCACCCCTCACCCCCACCCTCACCCCTACCCTCCTCCTACCTCACCCCCACCTCCCTCCTATCCCCCCACCCCCTACCTCCCCTCCTATCCCAACTCCCTACCCCCACCTCACCCCCCCCTCCCTCCCCACCCCCCACCCTCACCCCCACCCTCCCTCCCCCTCACCCCTACCCTCCCCCTACCATCACCCCCCTCCCCCCTCCTCCCCCACCACCTATCCAAAAATTAACCTCGTTTTTCAAAGCTAAATCCTCGAATCTGTTGTCATCACGTTTCTCTATGTCTCTCACCTTCGTCTAATCCATTTTGTTTCTTACTCTTGCTTCTTACTTATCTATCCTTTAGCTGTACTTGTGTTTATAGCTGTACTTGTGATTATAGCTGTACTTATGCTTATGTGTGTACTTGTGCTTATAGCTGTACATATGCTTATAGCTGTACTTGTTCTTACAGCTGTACGTATGCTGATAGCTGTACTTGTGCTTATAGCTGTACTTGTGTTTATAGCTGTACTTGTGTTTATAGCTGTACTTGTGTTTATAGCTGTACTTGTGTTTATAGCTGTACTTGTTTTATAGCTGTACTTGTGTTTATAGCTGTACTTTTGTTTATAGCTGTACTTGTGTTTATAAGCTGTACTTGTGTTTATAGCTGTACTTGTTCTTATAGATGTACTTGTGTTTATAGCTGTACTTGTGTTTATAGCTGTACTTGTGTTTATAGCTGTACTTGTGTTTATAGCTGTACTTGTGTTTATAGCTGTACTTGTGTTTATAGCTGTACTTGTGTTTATAGCTGTACTTGTGTTTATAGCTGTACTTGTGTTTATAGCTGTACTTGTGTTTATAGCTGTGTTCGTATTGAAGCTTTTGAAATATTTTATTTGTTATTGAAGAAATAGAAGCAAAACTCACC